GGAGCTGGGCTGCCATGAGTCGCCGGCGACGGCGTAGGCTGCAGCCCCTGCTGCAGTGGGTTGCCATGGGCTACCATGTGTAGCCAGCAGCCAGCATGAGCGGCCAGCAGTCGCAGTGAGCAGCCGTCCAGAAGCCGGCGACTGATCTGCCTCGTCCAGGAAGAATGCAATGATGGTGCCAACTTGGGCCAGTGAAGCAATGTCCTCCACAACTAGGCTGAAGAACAAAACGACAGCAACCTGTCTGTTCCCCTTTCCCCAATTCCCCAGCGCTGTTCCCATCCCCCAATTCCCCAATAAAAATCTTAAAAAAAATAAATAAATAAAAGGTGGACTAAACTATATCATGTTAATGCCAATCAGTCAAAAGAAAGCAGTAGGGAGTATTTTAATATCAAAGCAGATTTCAGAGCAAGGAATATTAACAGAGATAGAGAAGGCTGTTTCATAATGATAAAGAGGTCAATAAATCAAGAGGACATAATAATTCTAAATATTTGTGCCCCTGATAATAGAGTGTCAAATTGTGTAAAGCAAAACCGGATAAAACTACAAGGAGAAACAGACAAATCCATAATTCTCACTGGAGATTTCAACACCCCTCTCTCAATAATTGATAGAACAAGTAGACAGCAATCATCAGCGAGGCTATAGAAGACTGGAACAACACTATAAACCAACATGGCCTCTAATTAACATCTAGAGAACACTACACCCAACATCAGAATATACATTCTTTTCATGTGCACACACAATATTTTGGACCATGAAACAAGTCTTAATAAATGTAAAAAATTCAAGTCATACAAAGTTATGTTCTAGGTTCATAATGGAATTAAATTAAAAATCAATAAAAGAAAGGTATCTGGGAAGTCTTCCAAATATCTGGAAACTAAATAACATACTTCTAAAGAATCCACTGGCCAAAGAAGAAATCAGAAGATAAACTATAAAGTACACTTAATTGAAGGGAAATAAAAATACAATATATCAGAATTTGTGAAATGCTGCTAAAGTAGTACTCGGGGAAATTTATAGCACACAACACCTATAATAGCAAAGAAAGGTCTCAAAATCAATGACCTCAGCTTCCACATTGAGAAACTAGAAAAAGGGCCGGCGCCACTGGGACGCCAGCTCTGAGCAGCAGGGCCCCGGTTCAGATCCCACATTAGGGCCAGTGACGCTGCGCCCTCACAGCTAAGATGGTGAACAGCCTGACCTGGAGCTGGGCTGCTGTCAGTCACCGGCGACAGCATAGGCTGCAGTAAAGCTGCAGTGGGCTGCCATAAGCTACCGTGAGTGGCTGGCAGCTGGCGTGTGCCGCCGTGAGCGGCCATCCAGAGGCCGGCGACCGATCTGCCTCAGCCAGGAAGAGCGCAATGATAATACCAACATGGGCCAGTGAAGTGGCATCCTCCACAACTAGACTGAAGACAAAAGGACAGCAACTTGTCTGTTTCCCTTCCCCGATTCCCCAACGCTGTTCCCCTCCCGCAATTCCCCAATAAAATCTTAAAAAAAAAAAACTAGAAAAAGAGGGCGGCCAGGTGGTTCAGTTGGTTGGAGCGTGTGCTCTTAACAAGGTTGCCGGTTTGATTCCTCATGGGATAGTGGGTTGCGCGCCCCCCCACCACCAACAACAACAACTAGACTGAAAATAGTGACTGGACTTGGAGCTGAGCTGCGCCCTCCACAACTAGATTGAAGGACAACGACTTGACTCGGAGCTGATGGGTCCTGAAAAAAACACACTATTACCCGATCAAAAATAAATAAAAAATAAAAAACTAGAAAAAGAAGAATTAAACCCAAAGTAAGCAGAAGAAAGAAAATAATGGAAGTCAGAACAGAGATCAATGAGAGAGAAAGGAGAGTTACAGAATTAATGAAGCCAAGTGGGTTCTGTGAGATCAACGTTTATTGAGTGCCACCTATGGGTCAGGCACTGTTCAATCACTGGGGATACAGCAGAAAACAACACACAAAAACCCCAGGTACAATCCCTCATTTGGGCCTTTCCAACGTTGTTCTTTTTACCCAGAGTGTTTTCCCCAGATAATCTACTTGTCTCATTTTCCTACTTGATTTTTCTCCAAAGAATTTACTACCTTGTGGCATACCTTTTTCTGTCTTTCTTTTTTCTTTTTTTGTTTTTCTGTTTTTCTTTGTTTCTTCCTTTCTTTTCGTTCTTACTTTGTCTTTTTCTTTTTCTTCCTTCCTTTTGTCTTTCTTCTTTCTTTTTATTTCTCTCTCCCTCTTTCCTGCCTTCTCGCTCCCTTTTTTCCTTTCTTTCTCTTTCCCCCTCCTTTCCTTCCCTCCTGTCTTTCTGTCAGTCGTTCTGTCTATATATCCCCCTCCCCCAAACGTAAGTTTTTGTCTGTTTTCTTCACTGCCTTATCACCAGCACCTAAAGCAGGGCCTGGAATGTAGTAGTGTTCCATAAATATTTGTTTAACAGATGAATCCCTGCTATCATGGAGCTTACATTTTCTCTTTGAATGTGAGATATGAAGATTAGTGCACAGAAGGTGGGATCTTAAAGACAAAGACCAAGTATTAATTTCGGAAATCAAGGTCTAACACTCATAAATCAGGAGCTCAGGATCAAAGACCATATTTGGAGAGGTTAAAGGTCAGGAGGAGATTGCTTGAGCTACAGTTCTAATAAAGGTCTCAGGACTGGGGTCAGGAAGATCAAATCGAGTTTTGGGATCAATGGATAGGGATGTGGAACTCTGAGACCCAGAGTTCAAGAAAGGAGGTCAGAAATTATTGGGTTGGGATCAAAGTTGGATAGTAAATTGGTTTTTTTAAAGGTTAGGACCTGTGGGTTTGAGGTCAATAAGTCAAGCGTCAGAAGTCAGATTTAGGAGAGGTTGGGAAGCCAGGATAGAGACTAATAGGAAATCACATGTCGTATCCTAACGCCCGGTTTGGTAACCTAAGTTTCACTCACGTGTCTCCATCCTCAGTGACGTAGCCGAAGACGAGGGGTGCCCACGACAGCCCCGGGCCCAGCTCCGGACCCAGTCCTGGTCCTCCTGGGGCTGCTGCGTCGGGACCCAGAGAGCCCAAGCCGCTGTCGCACCATTCGTCGGCATCCGCAGCTTTCCCCAAGCACGCGACCCCGGCCATGGCCCCCGAAGCCTCAGGGGCCCCCGCGGCCGCCCGCCTCGCCTGTCTCTGGGCTCTGCCTGGAGCTCTGGCGCTTCCGCCCTGCGGGGAATTCCCCAACACTCCCCCTGACTCATCCAATCAGAGTAGGCTAAATCGCTTAAGCCCCGCCCCGTATCACACCGTGACCAATCAGAGTATTCAGATGGACTACAGCTCTCTACCCGTTCTCCTATTTTTCCGGGCGCCCTTTACCAACATGGCTGCTGGCGCTGGGCATTTTGGGACTCGTAGTCCGGCTCTCGCCTGTTTTCCTTACCTAAGTGGGGCGCGAGCCGAGGTTGTGCTAAAGCGTGTATGAAGCCTCGATGACTGCTGGGAGTTGTAGTTCTCTACCCTATCGCTGCCTTTTCTGTTTCCGGTGCCGTCACGGGACCGAGCAGTTGGTGACAGTCCCGAGGGCCCCCGCCCCGCGCCCATGGCCGAGCCGGACCGTGAGTCGGGGGCTTCGTTGGGAGGGTCGGGCCTATCCGGGGCCTGGCTGAGGGCTGCAGGCCCCGGGGCCCGAGGGCGGGCGTGGTGGACAGGAAATAGGGGCTGCGTGGAGAGGAGTGGGGTTCGGGGGGCCGTTCCTAAGTGATCCATATTGCTAGATTTGTGGGTTTCTGGGTCGCGAGGTTTTAAGGGTTCGTTTGCCGTATCTCCCAAGTTACTAATGATCGCGTGTTTCTCGCACCTGGGTTGCCAAGGACCCTCGTTGCTAAGGACTTAGGTTGCCGCGGTCCCGGTTGCTAAGGGTGGGTACCTGGTTGTTAAGGGAAACTGTAGAATGCTGGGGGACCCCTGGTGTCCCTTCCTATCTCTTCCGTCTAGTTCCTGTGCCTCTTAAACATACCATCCCCAGCGCACCTCGCCTCCCACACCCACCTCCATTTGGAGTATCTCTTATCTTCTCTCTTCCTTTCTAAACTTACCTCTGCTTGTAAACCTAACCCTCCGCACACACCCTCACCTACTACCGTGTCCTTCCTAACTCCTCCTAAGGTTTCCTCCATACCCTACGTCCTTTACTTTCTCCTTCCTCTCCTAAACTTTCCCATCCCAGCCCCTTTGTCCCTCACTAACCATCTCTCTTCCCAGCACTCTCCACTCTGCTTTTCCCCATCCCCTCCCTCCCTTTACTCCATTTTTACCGATACCCTCTACCCCAGTATAACTAGGTTGGTGGGTCTTCTTGCCCCCTGCACCCCTGCTGTGAAGCCCTTCATAATCCATTAACCATTCCCCCCACTATAACCACATCTGCTCCCACTCCTCCCCCAGCCTCTGACCCTCTGGAGACCCAGGCAGGGAAGGTGCAGGAGGCTCAGGTGAGATGGGGGAAGGGTGGAGGGAAGGAGAGAGATGGACTTGCCCCCGCAGCCCACTCCCCTGGGGGGAGGGGACAGAGGGGAGAGTTACCCCAGGGCCCTCAGCTCGCTGCCCCAACCCGTCACCCCACCTGCCAGTTCAGCCTCCTGAAGAACTGTGGATCCTGAGGACTGTCAGAGAAGGGTGTGCAGCCTCAACCCCAGGCCTGCCCGCCCGAACTTTCTCCTTTCCTTGCCCGCCTAATCCCTTCTGAACCTTATTTATGCTGGTCCTGAAGGAGACATGCATCCAATTTAGTCCCTGAAATCACAGATCTCATGACAAGTGACTAGAAAATGACCCCACAGGGTGATTGTGAAGGTAACTCAAGGCACTGCGGGAGACCAGAGATTCCAGCCAGTCCCTCCCCTGGAGGAATCTACAGGCTGGTCTAGGAGTCAGATTGAAGTACAGACACATTGTAGTATTTGCAGAGTGACTTTGAATTTTCTTAGGCAAGGTGGGAAATGGTGTCCCATGCAGAGGGTACAGCTAGCACAAAGACCTGGGAGCATGGAAGATTGTGATGTGTTCAGTAGATGCTGGCTGGGGTGGTCAGCTAATTATATGCATAGTTAGCATTTACTGAGTACTTACTTAAGTGGGGCACTCTGCTTAGTGCTTTATGGGCATCATCTCATTTCATCTTCCCAGCATTCCTGTGGGGCTCAAGTCCTACTGTGGTCATTTTACAGATGAGGAATTTGAGGCAGAGTTGTTAAGTGTCCTGTCCTCTGTCCCTCAGCTAGAAGAGCAGAGAGAGGCTTGCAACCCACAGCACCCAGCACACTGCTTTCCAGATGCTTCAGGAAGAGGTAGACATGCTGCCTTACAGAGGCCTGAAGGCCCCGCCAGCACCGCCAGCTCCCTCTTAGGCCGAGTTGCTCCCATGTGCTGGGCAAGGCCCTTGAGTCTGTCCACAGAGCCTCACTGTCTGTGGCCTGAAAGAATGCCAGCCCCCCACAGCCACAAGATCACTGTTCAGATGTAGGCAGTGTGGAAGCTGTGGTTAAAGCACCTCACAGATGCACGGCAGAGGGTATAAGAGCTTCCTGTCAGGCCAGGGCTTCTCCCTTGCCTGGCTCCCAAAGCAGGACCACTGTCAGAGAAAAAGGTTTAATGTTGAAAAGGATCCTCAGTCCCAAAGAGAGATTTGAGGATGTAAATTGCAACATTGTCCATAGTGGGGCAAAAAATGGAAACAGCCCAAGTGGCTGTCAGTAGATGGATTAAATGAACTATGGGGCCTCCTAACAATGCTCCACTAAGCAGCTGCTTAGAAGAATGAGGTGGGTCTATATCTTATTCTGCCGACGATGCAGGATGCAGCATTGTGCTGTGGTATGATCCATTTCTGGAAAAATAATGGGTTTTACATGCAGAGAAAAAAATCTGGAGTAATTAACCATTGTACTGTTAATAGTGGTTATCTCGACTGGGGGCTGGGAGTGGGAATTATGAGGCAGGTGCCCCATGTGATACATTGTCTAATACAAAGCTTATGCAATCTAAAAAGCAATAAAAATTTTTAAATATGTTTGGGTGGGAGGTTTCCATTCAAAAAGACTTGGAACCAGATAGTGAGTGATAAGGGAGAGGGGTTGCTGGAGAGGTTTTAAGCAGGAGAGTGAGCTGGTAAGAATTGTGCTTATACAGGATCCATTGCAGCGCCCAGTCATAGCATACAGCAGGTATCCATGCGTTCAGTGGTGGATAATTCTGGAGCTCTTGCCAGCTGTCAGACCCTATTCTTGGTGCTGGACATCCAGTGGTGAACATGAAAAACCCCTGCCTTCGTGGAGCTGATATCATGGTGGACCCTGTAGATGTTCATGATCATGTGATTAGATTGGACACACCAAAGAGAAGTGCCTGTGAAGTGGAGGGGAGTGAGCCGTCCCAGACAGACCATCATGCAGAGGGCTGTGGAGTAGATTGGAGGTGGAGACTAAGGCTGGGAGCCTAGGGAGGAGGCTGGGACAAGGGCCCCTCTGGGGAGAGGACAGGCTGGACCAGGTGGAGCCCTAGGGAGGGGACAAATTATGGCAGGGAGGCAGGGGAGGAAGGTGGGAGGCGTCTGGCATCCAGTGTGGGAGGCCACACTGGATGGGGCCCAGGATAAGGAGCAGATTGGGGGAAGATGCTGAGGCCATTTTGGGACACAGTGTGAGTGACGGGCCTGGGATCCCTTGGGGGAAAGCATCCAAGAGGCCACAGGAACCCCTGGATCTGGGGACAGAGAGGTGGCATCATCAGTGACTGGGCCGAGGCCATTGGTATGGATGAGGCAGATAGCCCAGGGGAAGTGGAGAGAGAAAGCAGGGAGGGTCCTGGACAGAGTCCCAAGACCTGCAATTTGGGAGCCTGGCCAATGGGCAGAGTTGACATGGAGAGGTTGGAAAGGCTATCTGGGGCTTCCAGCCACAGGGCTGGGATTTTCACAGGTATTGTTCCATTATTATGCAGTAACTTTGGTAAGGAGGGCTGCAGTGTGCTGGGAAGGGGCAGCAGGCCTATGCTACAGGGGACAAGAAGAGATACAAGGGGAGGATATGAACATGGCATATGAAATAGCAATACTAGTGCTTCTTGAGCACTTAACCCGCTGGGTGCTGGCCTGAGCACCTCACACATTAACTCATTTCATCTAACAATAGTCCCCTGAGAGGGGTGCCCTCTGAGCTCCATCACCAAGAGGAGGAGCACCGGAGACTCAGAAAAATGAAACCACTCACATGAGATTATGCTCCTGGGGAGTAGCAGGCCAGGTCCCCAATGCAGGCAGCCTGTCCCAGAGCCCACACACTGGCCCCCAGAGCTGTCCCTCCACTGCCTCTCACTTCCTTGGGCCTACCTCCCAGCCAGGGCCTTTTTTCCAAACCGGGGTGTCACCCGACCCCCTACTTCCTAACCCCACTTCTTGGGCCTGGCCACCCCACCTCCACCCCTTCCAGGACTCAGATTCAGACACTGAGGGCGGAGCGACTGGCGGAGAAGCAGAGAGTGAGTATCTTACTTGGGAGCCTGGTTCTGGTGGGGGGCGGTTTAGGGCAGGGGTCTAGGTGATACCCCTCACTTCCATCAAGGGTGACATTCAAGGTATGTAATAATGCTTTGGTGCCAGCACCTAGAAGCCCCTGGCTGGGCCAGGCATGGAGCCTTGAGTTGTGGGAAGGCAGGGGCTCCCTGGGCTGGGGCAGGGGCACTCAGGGCCTGTGTGTACCCCGGCTAAACACCCACCCAGCTACTGTCTCTCTTCTTTTTGTCCAGTGGACTTCCTGCGGAATTTGTTCTCCCAGACGTTGGGCCTGGGCACCCAGAAGGAGCGTCTGTTGGACGACCTAACCCTGGAAGGGGTGGCCCGCTACATGCTGAGCGAGCGCTGTAAGTCCCCCAGCTGCCTTGGGCCACTTTCCCCCACTTCTGGCCCCAAGTGACTTCTCAGCCCCAGCCACTTGAACCATTCACGCCTTTTGTTTGCAAGTAACAAGAAACCCAATTCAAACTGATTTATGCCAAAAACAAAAAAGGAATGTGTTGACCCCTTAACGAAAATCCAGCTTTCAGCCTGGCTGGGTCCAGGGGCTTCCGTGTTACTGAAAATCTTAACCCTCTCTGGCTGCTTTCCTGTGTGTTGGAGTAAAGGTAGCTCCTGGCAGCTCCAAATGCCAGTTCCACAGCCTCGCACCTCCCACTGAAGAGAGCATCTTTGTCCCAGTGCTACAAGCAAAAGAGCACAGATTGGCTCGAGTTGGCCCAGGTCGGGTCACGTTCTTACCCGGAATCAATCACCATGTCTCTGGTTGGCCAGACCTGGGTCACATCTCCATTGCTGACTAATGCTGTGGTCTGATTGGCCAGACCTGTTTGATAGAATGAAGATGATAATAATAATAAATGTTTACCTCATAGAGTTATTAGGGGTTAAAAAAATTAATAGAGATGTGAATGCCTGGGACAGGACCTGAAACATAGCAAGAACTGTGTAAGTGTTCCCTATGATTATTATTACAGGAAGCTTCTTTCAGGTGTGGGGTGTAGATGCCTCTTTACTGGGTCACCGTGTAATTTATATTTCTTACTGCGAGCTGAGGTCACCAGTCTGAGAAACCAAGCCCTCAGCAGTCCTCTGCTAGAACAATCGACCCTTTGAGGGTCCTGAGCAGCCCTTTGTTGAGGACATCTTCTCCACTTTCCCTGTCCTCCAGCTACTGCCAGCTCCTCCTCAGCCAGCCAGGCTCACCGCCCTGAGCCTCCCTCTCCTGGGCAGGCCTGGCAGCTGTCTCTAGCCCACTTCTGGCTCAGGTGGGCCCAGAGAATGCAGGCAGTGGCTACAAAGCTTTTGTTCCTTCTGTCCTCCTGCACCTGGACTTTAGGATAATTGACTCATGCGGATGCCTATGAGGGGATAATAATAAACAATAACAATTAATTGAGCCCTCACTGTTTGCCAGACACTGGGCCAAGCATTTGATAGGCCTCCTCCCATTTGATCTTCACAACAATAAACCTGTGAGGTCATTACAGGAGTGATATGGGCAGAGGAGGAAACTGAGGCACAGAGAGGCTGTGACTTGGTGCAGGGTCACACAGCTGGCTAGAGACAGAGTCAGGACTCAGCCCCAGGCCCCCCAGATTCAGAGCACACACTCCCTCCTCCATGCCTGCCCCCTTCCCCCGCATCCAGCCGGGCCTGGTCCAATGGCATCCCCAGAGGAAGCAGAGGACTAAGGCTGTGGCTGGCCTCAGCCTTTGTCACCCTTGCTGTCCTCCTTGGACAGGACACCCCAGAGGCTCCCGGTTCACAGGGCCTCATTTGTGTCTGTTCATCAGCTGACAGGCAGATGCCAGGGTACTGCGTGGGAGGGCTGTGTGCCAGCAAGCAGCTGAAGAGGCAACTGGGCTGTTTCTGCCCGGCCTGGTATGCTTGTGATTTGACCCCTGCCATGTCTTCCCATCATCTTTTCTGAAAGCTGGTAAAAATGAGGGGAATAAGTGCTTATAGGTGTATGAATCATGGGTCTCAAGAAATTTAATACAATTGACTCAAAGAATAATAGCAAACATATACATTTGACCCTTGAACAACACGGGTTTGACTGCGCAGGTCCACTTATACGCAGATATTTTTCAACAAATACTGAAAATACACTGTAAATGTATTTCCTCTTCCTTATGATTTTCTTAATAAGTTCTTTTCTCTAGCTTACTTTATTGTAAGAAATATGTGTTAATCAGCTGTTTATGTTATCAATAAGGCTTCCGGTCAACAGTAGGCTATTAGTAGTTAAGTTTTGGGGGAGTCAAAAGTTATACGTGGATTAACCCCCTGGGTTGTTCAAGGGTAAACTGTATAGTGTTTGCTCAGTGCAAGGCACAGATCTAAGCTTTACATGAATGACTTAATTCTCTCAACAGCCTCTGAGGTCAGTACTGTAATTATGCCCATTTTACAGACCAGGAAGCTAAAGCCTAGAGTGGTGATCTGAACTAAGACCCCCCTGCTAGTGAGCAGGAGACCAGGATTTGAAGCTCTTATCCACTCTCCTATTCACTGGGTGTGGGCTGAGAGTGGCAAATCTTTGGTCTTCACCTGGAAATTACCAGACTTCCGGTGGCTGATGTGTGTTTGATTATGGAGGAAAGGAATGTGATGAAGGAATGTGTATAATATGCCAGAAATAGATGGTCATTCCAGATTGTGTCGACAAGATGAGTTGCTACTAGAGGTTTTTACAATAACCTGTAGCTCTTCTGGGGGAACCCCCTGCCCCCACCCTCCTTACTAAGATCTTACACGTTTTTGTGTAGATCTAGTTAGGGGGAGAAACTTCCCTCCATGTGGCCTTTTCTGGACTCTGTCTAAGTGGGTATAATTTTAAACAATAGATTCCTTGTCCCCATGCTGGCTCTTCCACCAGTTGACTGTGTGACTCCTTCCCCTCCTGGAGCCTCGATTTCCTCATCTGTAAAAGATGGTTGGGAGGACCGTTCATGCATCTGAAATGTTTGCCCCAGAGCCTAGCGTGGAGTAAACAGTGTCAAGGACTGTGATCGGTAGTATTATTTGAGGACCCATGTCGCATGATGCACAAACTCCTCTCCTCTAGGTCGCAGAGTCATCTGTTTGGTGGGAGCTGGAATCTCCACATGTAAGTGTTCCCTTCCCCAGTAGCTGCCCCCAGGTTTGGGGGAGCCCATTCCAGGGCTGAGAGGAGCCAGGTCTGGGCCCTCACTGGGAGGGTTACTGTGATATAATTGAGGTCCCTGATGGATTGCTCCCTGCCCTTCCTCCCTCAGCCGCGGGCATCCCCGACTTCCGCTCCCCATCCACCGGCCTCTATGCCAACCTGCAGAAGTACCATCTTCCCTACCCAGAGGCCATTTTTGAGATTGGCTACTTTAAGGTATGTGCTCTCCCAGGGAGGAATATCTGTAATGATGGGTGGTAGGGATGGGGTCACCTGCTCTCATCTCACCAGGGGCATCTGTGTGCCCACCTGCCCTCCGCTGTCTCTCCCACAGAAACATCCAGAGCCCTTCTTTGCCCTCGCCAAGGAACTCTATCCTGGGCAATTCAAGGTGAGCTCTTTTTTGCAGGGGGAACAGAAAAGGTAAAGGGACAGCAGGCATGGGAAAGGCCCTTTGGACCAATATTGTTATATAGTCATTAAGTACATAGGCTCTGGGCCCAGACTGCCTGGGTCCAACTCCTAATCCCTCATTTCCTGCTTTTGTGACCTTGAGCCTCAGTTTTCCCATCAGTAAAATGAAGCTGATAACTATATGAAAAGGGTCGTTGTGAGGCTTAAATGAATTGACAGTACTCAAGTACACAAAAGAGCCCAGACTCTGGAGCCAGGCTGCTGCTTTTGAACAAATCCCAACTCTGCAGCTTCCCGGCTGTGTGACTTTGACAGGACAGTCAGCCTCCCCATGCCCCAGTTTCCTCCCTGTGAAATGAGGATAATGATGGTCTCTGCCTCACAAGGTCGATGCAATGGTTCCATGAGGTAGAACAGGCATAGCGCCTGGAACAGTTCCCGGCGCGTGGCGGTGCAGGGGAACCTTCGCCGTTACCAGCTTGGTTCTGATTGCTCCCCTGCAGCCGACCCTCTGTCACTACTTCATCCGGCTGTTGAAGGAGAAGGGGATGCTTTTGCGCTGCTACACACAGGTAGGCGGGACTGCGGGCATCCTGGGAGGAAGAGGGCGGGCTGGATGTGGCCTGGCACCTCAGCTCTAAGAGCTCCAGCCACTGCTTCTTTGTCATGTGACCTGCAGTGAGTCATTTCGCCTCTCTCAGCCTCAATTTCCCCTTCTGTAAAGCAGAGGCCAGCACAGCTTTGCCCTTTCAGGTCTGTGGTGACATGGCAGTGAACTCCTCTCAGAGCCATCCATCCCTTGTGTACTGAGAAAGGACCTGGTGTCTGAGGGGAGGGGACACCATTTGCACCAGCGATATCATATGTGTTAGCATTTTCCAGCAGATGACACCAAAGTGACTTGATCTAACAAGTCACTTTGTTAGACCTGTACTTTGTTAGTACTGGTGGACGTAGTGTCTTAAGGAAGGGGTACCTTTTTATAATTTGCACAAAGGCCTCGTATGTGCCATGGGGCCATGGCTCATGCATGTCAGGTGCTGAGCTGGGCCTCACCATGAAGTACCCGGGGAAGGGAAGCTCACCTTGTTAGCACCTGGACTAGTTGGCAAGCCTTCCGGGATCTCGCGCCCTGATAGTAAAAAAACGTTTGCGCCTCTACCTTTGTTTTATGAGAACATATTGAATTGCATGATGTGCTATACAGTGATATCATGCATGCTGTCAGTCATACCTCAGAACCCAAAATTTATAAAATAGAGAGGGCATACCTGAATATAAATAGGTTTTCTAATAGTTCCTTCCCTCACCTGGCAGTTTGGAGCCTGCAGCCGCGGAAGCTGCCACCAGGGGGAGGATGAATTCTCTTCCGGTCCCGATTTCTCAACTGGGGCTAGTGGTGTGATGGTAGGAGGGACTGTCACCTCCTTCTAGAAGGAGTCCATGCTCAGGATAAACCTGACCTTGGCTCAGACATGATACAAACAGCTCACCTGAAGCCACGTGCCCTCTGTGCATGATTTCATGGACCCCTCACCACGGCCCTGCTGGCATCCCTGTTTGTCAGCTTCTGTCACAAGTGTTTACTGAGTGTCAACCCAGTGCCAGGTGCTGCTGGCAGCAAACAGAGCAGACATCACTGCCCTCCTGGAGCTCACACGCTAATGTGGGGAGAGAGACATGTGGACAAGATGGATAAGTAGCTTATCTAGTGTGGCAGATGTTGTGAGTTCTGTGGAGCAGGATTAAGCAGGAAAGGGGAATCAGAAGTTGTGTGTGTGTGTGTGTGTGTGTGTGTGTGTGTGTGTGTGTGTGTGTTGGGGGTAGTGGAGTGTGTTGTTGTAAATACGGTATCAGGGAAGGCCTCACTAAGCAGGACACATTTAGACAAAGACCTGAAGAAGGGGAGGGAGGGAGCCTGGGATTATCTGGGGGGAGTGCGCTCCAGGCAAAGGGAACAGCCAGTGCAAAGGGCCTGAGGGAGACTGTATTTGGTATGTTCAAGCTGGATCTGAGTACGTGAGGAAGCCAGTAATGGGAGAGAATGGAGGAGAAGAGGTCAGGGAGGTGACAGGGGCAGTGATTCAGATAATGATGGGCCTCGGGGGCCATGGCAGGGCTTTGTTCTTTACCCTGAGTGAGATGGTGCCACAGGAGGGCTCTGAGCAGGGTAGGGACATGACCTGACCCAGTGTCCCTCTGGCTACATGTAGGGGACAGATTGTGGGAGCAGTGGGGAGGGGGTTACAGAGACTATGGAGGAGGCTGCTGTGATGGTCCAAGCAGGAGAGGATGGAGGCTGGGCAAGGGTCGGAGCCAGGGAGGGGGAGAAGTGGGCAGGTTTTGCATCCATTTTGAAGATGGAGCCAACAGGACTTGGTGATGGATGGGATGTGAAATGATTCATGATGGAGAGAGAAGAGTCAAGGACGACTGGACAGCTCTCAGCCTGAGCACCTGCTGCTTTTTACTGAGATGGTGGGAGGTGCAGGGGAGGGCAGAGGAGAAGTTTACTTTGAGGCACATTGAGGTTGAGATGCCCGTTAGACACCCATGTGGAGATGCATACAGACATTTGGACACAGCAGTCTGGACTTGGGCTGTAGGAGCAGCATATAGACATGTTTAAACTCACCAGAGAGGATAAGATCACAGGGCCCTAGCATGAGAAGCTCAGGACAAAGTGGCCCATCAGGGCTGCTCAGCAGGCTCACTTCCCAGCTCCGTTCAGTCAGAGGCAAAAACCCCTGCCCTTGACCAGGAAAGCACAGCAGCTGCCCACTATTTTTACATGAGAGCCAACATGAATGCAAGTGTACTGTGCAGGCATTTCCCCAGTCCCCACTTGCAATATTTAATGCATGGAAATTAATTACACGTAATTTTCAAAATGGCATATTACCTAAAATAGACAAAGGTGGAAAAAAATCTTTCCACTCTCACATTTATGAAACCATTTTTTTTTCAAACCTCTCACCTTCTTCCTTGACCTCAGCCAGTTTTTGAGTCACTGACCTAGTTTTCTGGAACACGTTGTCTTCACCTCTTTCTGAATTGTGATGACACAGCACCTCTGAAGCATGTATGATGCTATTTTTATCTCGAGACACAAGTATCCATTCAAACATGAGAACAGTTGTCCTGTTCACTCAAGTCACTGATCTCCACGGCAAAACGTTTTTTTAACTATATATATGGCATTTGTACTGAATATAGGGTTTGGACTTGGCTTTTCTTCACCTGACCCCTTGTCTGGAAGACCCTTCCATATCCACATTCAATAGCAACTTCATGCTTTTAAAAAGCTGCCGTCAGTGATGGGTCAATCAAGGATTGTGATGTTTTGAAATAAAAAGGGAACCAAGGTCTCCAAAGTTTCAGATGAAAATCCAGACTTCAGGCTCCTCCAGAAAATTGGGAAGAGCTGACTGCACCCTGGGTAGCTTACCCGGGGAGAGCGGTCGGCTGGAGCTGAGTGACCAGTGCCAGTTCTAGGAGCGGCCCACCCTTGCCCAGGGCCCACCTCTTCTCCACGGCCTGTTTCCTGCCAGGCACCAGGGCCAAATGGCAGTTGTGCGTCACCATGTGTTCAATGCTTGTCCTCTAGCAGAGGACTTCCTGGGCCGTACTGCCCAGCCCCCAGCTTCCCTCCCGGGCCATGGCTGTCGGCTCCTTCGTGTGTCTCCTTTGAAGATATTCTGTACTTAGGCAAACAAATACGCACACTTCTAGATATTTTTTCACATCCTGTACACACTGCCTTTGTGCTTTTCTCCCTATTAACACCTTGGAGAGATAACTTCTGATCAGTAGGTACAGTTGGGCCTCATTCTTTGTTTTTGTTTGTTTGTGGTTTCTTGATTAAACATCGTGTCAGAGACTAACACAGAGGCATTTAGGCAGTTCTTCTGCATTCTACTGAGTTACTTCCACACACACTGCTTCCTCAAGCGCAAGGGAGTTGGTCAGTAGACTGAATCAAGTAACAAAGGCCAAACTGAGATTGCTAATGGAGAGGGGGAGGGGAAAAGCTACAGAGAGTCTGGGAACAGTGACTTGTCTGCATGTTTTGGGGATAAGCTAATTGCTGGCAAGGAGCAGAGAGGGCATTTGGGGTGTCTGCCCTGGAAAGGGAACGCTTCCAGTTGTTCATAGAGTCTCCAGGAAACCTTGTTGGTTCAGCTGTGGGCTGCACATGACAGGCCGTCTCTGTGTGACATCTGCCAGTGTCCTTCAGCACCTGCCTCACAGGCAAACAAAAGCTGCTCCAGAGGGACTGCGTGTTTTGAGAAAAATGAGAGAGCACAAATGCCTATGCGGAAGAGACGAATATTCTTGTTTGGTTAGTAAGGAAAGTATCTCTGTCTTATACGAATATGTTAATCTGCCATCTATGAAACACACAATAGTAAGAAATCTGCCTGCTAAATAGGAAAATAGTGTGTTTAAAACCAAACAGTTCCTCCCGAGTTGTTTATTTATGTTAACAGTTGGCCGAGGCTGCCACATACAGCTGTACAGGTTGGATACAGCACAAGAATGCCACATCTGAGGGGGCCTCCACTTACAATGGAAACATTGTAGATTTGTACATTTATTTCAACAGATTTCTGGCAGGTGGCACTCAAGTGTGTGGTTCTAACACAAGTTTTCTGAAAAATGGAAGCAAAGTGGCCTGAATTTGTAGAAAAATGCCATATGGGCTATTAGTGGCCGTGAGGCTGGGCTCATACACGTTTGAATGTGGATCCCTGCCTCTAAACGTCCGTGACTTTTACCCTTTCAGTGGCACCACCAGAATCAAGAGTTTCCAGACACACCCTGCCCCTTGCTTTTCCTGCCCGCCCTTCTCACCCCACCCCACTGCTTTCTCTTGGCCACAACTCCCTGCTCTGCCTTCTGCCCCTGGAGGGGCGTGGTTCACTCCTGCCCCTCTTCCCTCCAGAACATAGACACCCTGGAGCGAGTGGCCGGGCTGGAGCCCGAGGACCTGGTGGAGGCCCACGGTACCTTCTACACGTCGCACTGCGTCAGCCCCCTCTGCCGGCAGGAGTACACGCTCAGCTGGATGAAAGGTGAGGGGCTGGAGGTCATCCACAAGGGCAGGCCTCCCACTCACTGTCCACTCCTCAGTGGCAGGCACAGGGCCTCCACCCAGTGGGCACCAGTTCTGTCGTGCACGGCGCTGTGGCTCTCCTTAACAGATAATGGCAGCCCCCAAAGGTTTGAGGTGGTAACCGGGTTCATTGCTTCCAATACCACCTCACAGCCAGGTTAGAATGGAAACAAGCGCCAGACCCAGTTCAGCCGCACACACAGAGACGTGCATTAGCAGAGAGCTCCTCAGATGGTCACACCACCTGTGAGGGCACACAACCCTTGCTCTTTGGCCTTTGAGGGGCTCTGCCCCTGTCTCACGTGAGGTGCTCATTAGGCAAATGGAACTAAATTTTAAGAAGAGCAGAGCTGTCCGATAGAACTTTCTGAGATGAGGGAAAGCATCCATGTCTGCACTGTCTAATGTGCTGCTCACTACATGTAGCTACTGAGCACTTGAAATGTCACTAGCGACTCTGAAGGAGAGTTTAAATTTGATTTAATTTTTATTAATTTAAATGTCAAAAGCCTCATCTGGCTGTGACGACCATGGTGGACAGCACTTGTACGAGAAGCACAGGATTCAATGAGCCCATTAAAAGGCGAGCAGAGGGCCGGCCGAGTGGCGCCTTGGTTAAGAGCTGGCTTGGGATGCCAGAGGGCCCCGGTTCGGATCCCACATAGGAGGGCCAGTGACACTGCCCTCCACAGCTAAGATGCTGAACAACAGCTCAACCTGGAGCTGGGCTGCCGTGAGTCGCCGGCGATAGCGTAGGCTGCAGCCCCTGCTGCAGTGGGTTGCCATGGGCTACGTGTGTAGCCAGCAGCCAGCGTGAGCGGCCAGCAGCCACAGTGAGCGGCCGTCCAGAAGCCGGCGACTGATCGGCCTCGCCCTGGAAGAGCGCAATGATGGTGCCAACTTGGGCCAGTGAAGCGACATCCTCCACAACTAGACTGAAGAACAAAAGGACAGCAACTTGTCTGTTCCCCTTCCCCCAATTCCCCAGTGCTGTTCCCATCCCCCAATTCCCCAATTAAAAAAAAAATCTTTAAAAAAATTTTTTAAAAGGCGAGCAGAATCAATGGAGTGTGAAGCCAGACACAGGGCTGGCTGCGGTGGCCCCTCGGGTGCAGACTACAGGGCTTGCTGAAGTCATAGTCCCAATTCATGTAAGGGCAGAGTGTCCATAAAAAGAACAAAACAATCCAGACAATCCGCATTTCTTGAATGCCAGCAAGAGCCTGTTTCTGTCATCCATTGTGCTGATTAAGAAGTCACTTATTTCACCCATGAAAACCCATTTCTGACATTCTTTATGCTGACTTCACAAAGCCTCTGTCCACAGGAGATAAGGACAGCACTTGTAGTAGGGCCTCTGGAGTGTGGCCTTTCTCATGAAATGCCAGCTGACCGCCCCTGGGGCGAGGAGTCCTGACTAGCCCAGCCGCGCGCAGCTGGGGGTAATGTACAATTAACATTACCCCATTATGTTCACTTACAGCAGTTATCACATGCAGCACCCACAAAGTAGCATACTGTCAGTGCAGAAATGTTTTAAATTAAATAACAGGCATTAAAACGGTGCTCTGTAAATGTTTGTTGAGGGAATGAATGAATCGTTGAACAAATGAGCTAGGAGTCTGTGGGTTTCAAGTGACAGAATGCTTTCAAGTTTCCTTAGTAAGTAATAAGGCGCATGATTGTCATAAGGATAGTGTGTGTGGTGGTGGTCGGGGTGAGGGGGATCAGTCACAGAACCCAAGGGTGGGAAGCAGCTGGGCCTAAGGATTTGTCCCCATCCCAGGATCATCTGCATATTTTTCCCTCTCTCTCTCTCTGCCACTTGGCCTGGGACCACCAGGCCTCTAACCCAGCATGAATCAGGGCTGCCTTCAGAGACTCACTGGCAGAGCTTCACTCCCAAGTCCAGATATCCCAAGAGGGGTTTGGGGAATCCAGTGGCCCATGCTCATTTGTTTATTCTTTCATTTATAGCTTCGTGCTGCTGGGAGCCACCCTTGGAGTTCTGGGGCATTTGGGGAAATGGAGGTGGTTCTTTGAGATGGGGGTCCTTCCTGAGCAGGGCAGACACCCCGGGAGGTTCCCCGGTGACTGAGATGTGTTTGTGTTGACCGTGAAGGAAAGGGCAGGGGGAGGCCGCAAGGCAGGCGACAGCCCCCAGCCCAGAACCTCTTACCTCCTTCTCTCCTTCCCCTTCTCCACGCCCAGAGAAGATCTTCTCCGAGGTGACTCCCAAGTGTGAGAAGTGTCAAAGTGTGGTGAAGCCTGGTGAGCCTTGGGGCCAGGGGCCAACTGAGGGAGATTTGACCTGGGAACCGCCCCCCCCCCACACACACACACACACACGCACACGCTTTTCCAAGAAGGCCACACTTGCCGCCCACCCCACCTCTGGTCACCTCTCTCCAGGGAGAGGGTTTTGTAGCCCTGGCTTGTCTCCCGCTGCTCCACAACCCCACCCAGCCCTCAGGTCTCCCTTCTGCTCCTGGCTATTCTTGTCTTATCCGTCTCTGCCTCTCGCTGTTCACTGTCTCTTTCTGTGCTGTGTTGTCTGTTCGTCTGTCTCCACCTCAGACATCGTGTTCTTTGGCGAGAACCTTCCAGCGCGTTTCTTCTCCTGCATACAGTCAGTAAGTGTCCCTGCCACCACCCTGCACTCAGCTCATGTGGGTGGACAGCCTGGGTCCTGCCCTGGGGAGGATTACCTCCCCAACTGGCTTCGGGTGGGCTTGTGATGGGGGACGGGGCGGAGGGTGGGGGCAGGGGATGGTGGCCTAGCCCCAGCGGAGGGTCCTGGAGCCCTCATGGCCACTCCCCCTTCATAGGACTTCCTGAAAGTGGACCTGCTCATCATCATGGGCACCTCCCTGCAGGTGCAGCCCTTCGCATCCCTCATCGGCAAGTAAGCCAGGGGTCTGAGCTGGGGTGGGGGGCGCTGGAGGCCGGGGGAGCCAGAGCAAGTCCTCACCACCCAGCTCATCATCCCCCCAGGGCACCCCTCTCCACCCCGCGCCTGCTTATCAACAAGGAAAAAACTGGCCAGGTGAGTTGGCTTTTATTCACAGCTCCTCGTTCTTCCCTGCCTCCTCATCACATGGGTCCCCAATCCCTCCCACTGGCTTCCTTGGTACAAAGGGACAGGTCTCCAGGGAAACCAGTAGTTCAGACCTCTCAGCTCAGGACCAGGGATTCCAGAATCCGGAGGGGTCAAGTTCCAGGCTGCCCTAACTCTAAGATTCCATAGGCCTCTGGGTCATTCGGGGCCCTTTCAAACCATGACAGAACCCCAACTCAGAGCGACTTAAGCCAGAACAGGGATGTTGCACTTCTGGGACTGCAGAGTCAGAATAGCTGGAGCCAGGGCCTTCAGCCATGGCATCAGAGTCTGCTATCTCTTGGCTCTCTCAACCCCCCACCCAGGTGGCCTCCCTCCCAAGCACAGACTCCCTCCTGGGGAATGATGTTTCCTCGAATAGGCAAAAACATACCACATGCCAGATGCTGTTGTAAGCATTTTCCCTGTGTTAACCCACTGATAGAACAACTCTAGGAGTGGGTTCGATGATCATCCCCACTCTAGAGATAGGAAACTGAGGTTCGGAGAGGCCAGGTCCCTTGAGCAAAGTCACAGAGCTGGGATACAATCCCAGGCCTCCTGGCTTGAGGGTCTGTGCTCTTAGCTCCCCCCTTCCCCACCCCCGCCCCACCTACTTCCCTGCAGACTGACCCTTTCCTGGGAATGATGATGGGCCTCGGAGGAGGCATGGACTTTGACTCCAAGAAGGCCTACAGGTGAGGCCTGGGTCTGCGGTGTGGGGTGGAACCTGCAAGGGACAGGCCAAGGTGGGAGGGAGGGTGTGATGGTACATGGACAGGGCAGAGCTGTCAGGGGCCTGGGACAAGCCTGGGCGCTCTTACTCTCTCACCTGCCCACAGGGACGTGGCCTGGCTGGGTGACTGCGACCAGGGCTGCCTGGCCCTTGCTGACCTCCTCGGATGGAAGGTGAGGAGGCTGGGCCACCCAATCCCCTCGGAGCCCAGCCCCTGGATGCCTGCCCTACAGGTCTTCTGACCCCATGAGGCATGGTCACCTCTGACCCTGGGAACTTTGTCTTATACAGAAGGAGCTGGAGGATCTTGTCCGAAAGGAACATGCCAGCATTGACGCTCAGTCGGGGTCAGGGAGCCCCAACCCCACCACTTCCACTTCCCCTGGGAAGTCCCCACCTCCTGCCAAGGAGGAGGCCAGGACTATGGAGGGAGAGAAACCCCAGTGATAGCTGCATCTCCCAGGCAGGACGCCCAGCTCCTTTGGGACAGCTGAGCCCCAACCAACCCTGGCCCCCCCTAACTTGCAGCTCTTACGTGGGAGCTCAGAGCATTCCCTCACTCTCATAACGACTCCCTCCCAAAACTGGGGTCCCAGCTCCCCAGCCCTGGCAAATCTCTAACATCTGCTGAGGGCCGAAGCTTGGGCAGCCTGTCTCTAACAGCCCAGAGCCTCTAACCACCCCCAGGGGCAAGGATCAACCTCCCTAACCTCTAACTGTTCCCAGGGCCAGGGGGCTTCCAAATTTCTAACTATCCCAGGACAGGGTCCCCAGGGCCCCCACTCTCTACTACTCTCAGGGGCCTGTGGCCAAGTAGAGAAAAATCTAACCTACCCTGGGTGGGGGTGGGAGCCCTCCAAACATAACTCACCCAGTGAGGGGTCTGAGCCTGAAGGCCTGCCACCTCTCTGCCTTCAACTCCCAAAGTGGGTGCCTAACCACCTTCACTCAGGACCCACTTCTCATGTGGGAATGGGCAGATGATGTTGCTTATTGGAGACAAATTAAAAACCAAAAACTAACCATCGGCTGTCTGGCCTGGCTGTTCCTTTCTGTGGGCGCACGGGGAAGCAGCTGGAATAAGGGGGTGGGGGGGGAGAGATCTCCAGCCACTAAGGAAACCAGAACACGTACAGGCTCTTGTGAAAAATCAGAATGAGGGGTGCTGAGAGGAGACTCCAGGGCAGATGGGAGCCTCATGGCTCTTATCCCTGGACTTCTGGTCTACCCCGGTCCCTTCCTCCAAAGCCCTGTCACTTAAGGCCTGAGCCCCCGGAAAGAGGGAGGAAGGTTGATTTCAGATACCACCCCAGCCCCGCCTCTTCCCCTGGTCTGCTCAGCTTCCTCTCTGTGAGGAACACTTTCACTTCCTGCTCCTCCGGGCCTCCCCTCCATGAACAGGTAGGGGCCCCCAGGGACCGAGCAGCTGGCATTGTCACCCCTACTGCCTCCTTTGGTATCAGGCAGCTGTCCCATCCTGCCCTGCCCAGCACCACCCACCTCTTCCTCCCCCTCTCATGGGACCCAGGTGAGCATCTGCCTCCCTCTTCTACCCCACCCACCTGCTGTCCCTTGAACAGGGCACCTGCTCTCGGTCCCACCCTTCCTAATACCCTGGGCTGATTGATTTGTTTAGCTGTTTATTGTCCATCCCTTCTACCCCCGCCCCAAAAAAGAATGGACGCTCCTGACAGCAGAGCCTATTCCATCCATCCCCCTTTACCCAGGGCACCAGCACCTAATTCTGGGCTTGTACTGAATACATATTTGTGGAATGCGTGGATGTATGGACCCAGGTTTCCTACTCTTGAGTGCTACAGGGAAATTATTTTTTTTTCAAGATTTTTATTGGGGAATTGGGGGATGGGAACAGTGCTGGGGAATTGGGGGGATGAGAACAGACAAGTTGCTGTCGTTTTGGTCTTCAGTCTAGTTGTGGAGGATGTTGCTTCACTGGCCCAAGTTGGCACCATCATTGCGCTGTTGTCCAGCATCTTAGCTGTAGAGGGCAGTGTCACTGGCCCTCATATGTGGGATCCGAACCGGGGCCCTCTGGCGTCCCAAGCCAGTTCTCTAACCATCGCGCCACTCGGCCGGCCCTGAAATTATTTTAAAATGTCCACCTCAACTGGCAACCCAGCGTAGGACTCTGTACCTCATTAAAAGTTGGGGTCCGATGGACACATGGCTAGAGGGACAGCTGTGTGATAAAGCAAAGAATAAAATAATGGTAGATGCTAGGTAATGGGTATATGGATGTTCCCTATAATATTCTTTCCATTTTTCTGAATGTTTGAAATTTTTGATAATAAAATATTGGAAGGAAATATTTGAGGGCCCGTCTGCAGTCTGGGAAGGGGGAGGAGGAGGAAGTGTTACATAACATTTGTCTCATTTATGGAGCCTACTATGGGTTGAGCCCTCTTTCAGGCCCTAGGTTTTGGCAACAGTTGTTTACTCAGTCCGTCCACATTCACATGGCTGCCCCAGATGTTAAAATCTGAACGATTTCCCTACCGCTTGGTAAATACCTGTCATTTGCAGTCCTATGCCTCTGCCCCCACCCCAAGACACACTGAATTCCCTCCTGGGATCCCCAGATCTCCCCACCATCCAGCGATGAAAGAATTTATACCTGGCACAGCAAGGAGCCTTGGGTCCATTCTGATTGGTCAGGATCTCTGCCATTGGTTGTAAATATTTTGAACTTTACCCCTGAACTGGAGCAGCCTTGAGCCTTATCTTCCTCCCTGCCAGAGGCCAGACCATGGCTCACTGGCCTCCCGCATCCTGAGGATGGCCCAGCCAGAGGACAAGGCCTTGGCAGGCCCCACCGACAGGGAGAGGTGAGGGCTAATGGGGCTGAGGTCTCCATCTCCCGTCCCTGGATTCAGATACCCCTTCCATCCAATGCCCACCCTCCCATAGGACCTTGAACCCCATCTCTGACCCTTCGCCCCTGGGCTTGCCCTCCCTTGTACCTATGACCCCAATTCAGTGTCCAACTGCCCACCTCTGATCCCTGGTCTCCTGGGCCCTGCACATCCCAGACTGGTCCCATCACAGGAGAATGGAGCCAGCGAGACCTGCTTAGGGGTCTTGGGGGCTCAAGAGCCACTCCATCGCCTGCAGAGGACATGGGGGGTGTGGCAAGTCCCAGAACTGGATGCTCAGGATGCAGAAGCCCTTCTGGAGCTGTGGCCACCGGGGGTGAGTACTCACAGCTGGGGACCCTTTCTGACCTTGCCATGACACCCTGGATCAGTTAGGACTCTGCTGGTTGCCAGTGACAACCACAACAAAACAGGCCAAACCAAAAAGGCTGCTTATGGATTCAAATGACTCAAATACCCAGAAGTAAAAGTAATTGCAAGAATATCTGGATCCTGAGCATCAGACAACTTATAAATTTCTCTTTATCCCACTTCTGGGCTTTGCTTTAAACTGGGGGGGAATTCTGAATGTTTGGGGCTGCAAGTAACACTCATTCTATAGTAGTTTAAACAAATAGGCATTTATCTTTCTAACACAACCAGAAAGGCAGCTAGTTCATCAGCTTGGGTGACATCAAGGCCAGCATCTCTGCGATTCTCTTGGACTTCCCTCATGGTTGCCTAGTAGCAGCTATGTCCAAACACATATGTGTTTGCCAGCAAGAAGGGAAGAAAGGAGGCACAAGTTGCATCTGTTTCTTTTTACCAGAAAAGCAAAAAGTCTTCACATTTCATTTGGAATATATGGATGGGGCCCAGGTAGCAATATTTTTTAAAGCTTTCCTGGGAATGTTACAGCCAGAGGTGAAAAGCTCTGCCTGCACCGATCATTATCCATCTTCTATGGCTCTGCATTTTAATACCCTGAACAAAGCCAGAGTTCTGCAGGGAAGAGGGCATAGATTTGGATAAGGCAACTAACGGGTCACCACTGCTTCCTCCGGGGAAGTGAGGGGGACTCTCTCCTTATGTTGGCAGAGATCGCTGTCCCCAGCTCAGCACCACACCTCACCCGGCTAGCAACCTCAGTGTAAAAATAGGCCTCTTCCCAAAGACCTCCAGCAAAAATCCTGTGGAAGATTCCCTTTAGCTGAGCTTGGGTCACATGCCCATCTCTGAACCAATCACAGAGCACTGTCATCTTGTTGGCTAGGTCAGGTCATGGACCACTTCTAGGACTTGAAAGTCAGTTCCACTAACGTGGACTGAAAAGGGAGTGGGTTTCTCTAAAGAAAATTTGAGGTATGGAACCCCAAATAAGGGAAATGGATGCTAGGCAGGCAAAAGTAATACATCTTCACAAATCCTCTTCATGCTGATCTTTGTCTCCGCCCTCCAGAGTTTCCTGGTCACAGGACATGACCCCAGCCAAGTCCTGGTGTTGAGGACAGGACCTTCACCAGGCGAAGTCAATACCTACCAGATTCAGAAGCTTCCTGGAGGTGAGGAGCCTACCCCTGAGTTTCCAGTCAACAGCAAACTTACCATCAAGTTAGTCAGCTTTATTTCTAAACTATTTCCCAAATCTTCCCAATCCTATCTGCCTCCACCACCCTAATTTGAGCGACCATCACCTCTTACCCAGACAATTTCAGTAGCCTTTTCTCTGGTCTCCCTGCTTGCACTCTTTCCTTCCTGCAATCCATTCTGAGCACAGCAGCCAAGGCGGTATTTTCAAACATTATTCAGATGTTATACATTCCTGCCTCAAACCCTGCAAAGGATATGCATCATCCTTAGATAAAAGTTTAAACTCCTCATCATGGCTTATAAAGTGTTCCTTCAGCCAACCTGCCCACCCCTCCATCTTCTGCCCCTCATTCCCTCTGCTCCAGTCACATTGTTCTCATTTTTGCTCCTTGAACACACTGGATGAGTCCCAGCCTCAGGACCTTTGCATTTGTTCACCTGGAAGGAATGCTCTTCTTTGAATGATTGATTTAGTCTCCATCCTTCAGCCCTCTTTGGAAATGTAACCTTTCTTGACCACCACAGTTAAGATAGCCCTAGTCATTTTCATTCACTCCATTTTGTTCATAGCACTCAATACAATATACACTTACCTTTATTTTTCTACTCATTTATTTTCTGCCTCCCTCCACTAAAAGGTAAGCATATAGGAAGGCAGTGAATGTGTCTACCTTTTGACAACTGTATCCCCAGTATCTGAGAATTAATAGGTGCTCCATAAATATTTGTCTAATGAATGAATATTTGGTGGCATAAGTGGGATACAAACATAAAGACACAGGAAACGATGGGGACTCCAAGGGGTAGAAATTTCCCTGTTCTGAAGGTTCTTGGGGGTATTCAGGACTGGGAAAAAGAGAGTCCCAGGGAAGAGGAGGCTGCCACCCCTCAAGTTTTCTAATTTGTCCCTCCTTGGCCCCCTCCCCCAGGTATGTCCCTGGAATCCTCTAACCTCTGCATGCCAGACCTGCCCCATCTCCTGGCCTTCCTATCAGCCAGCAGGTACAGGTTACCCATCAAAAGGACTAAGGGGAATTCTTCCCTAAGACATCCCCACTACATTGCGGCTCTTCCTTTTCTGTTCTCAGGGATGTTTTGCCCAGAACACTGCTTTTACCCCCTCCCACTCTAGTGCCTGAGGAACATGCAGGTGAGGCATGGTTCTCTAAGGGAAGGAGAGGAAAACTTTTCTCTTACTTGGTCCAGGAGGATAGCACTTGGGGAACCAGACCACTATGTTTGAGGGAAGGGAGGGAAGGGGCCTGAGAGAGCTGGGGGGAAGCTTGGCTCCTGGGCCAGGGGTCAAGCCACAGCTCCTCTAGTAATGAGGCTGGGAACTAAGTCTCCTGAGGGAACCAGGGCTGGCCTCTCGGACACATGGGACACCTTCCCCAGATCCTCTGCAGATTGGCAGTATCCAACTCAATGCCTCAGGTAGGGTGCTCTCCGTGGAGAACAAGCTCTACCTGGAAGTCCACAGAGGATGGACGATGGAACAGATCTCCCCAGAGACACCTCCAGTGACTGCCAAGAAACAAGACCCAGGTTAGCTGGGCTGGGCTTGGGTCTGTGAGAGATGAGGGAGCTGCTGATGCTGTTCTGTGGGACCCAACCCTCTCCTCACATCCAGCCCCCAGGAAATCTGCCCCTCACCGGGTCTCCTGGGTAGAAGGCCCACTCAGCCCAGAAGTACACCACTGTGGCCCGGCTCTGGTCAGCTTGGTAGAGGAAGAGGAGGAGGATTATGGCTACAAAGATGAAGAAGAAGGACCTGAGGATGTGCTTACTCGTCATGTCCAGGCTCTGGCCAGAGCCCGGAGCAGCTACGTGGCCAGGCAGTTCAGAGGCCTTCAGGCACGCCTCACTTCAGATGCTGGGGGCCACCACAGGCCTGGGGACCCAGCCACAGAGCTGCTTCAGGATGTGCGGCACCTGCTTACTGACCTCCAGGATCACTTAGCAAAGGACCCTGATGTCAGGGCAGTCTTTGGGAGCAGGGGACCTGGGGTACTCCAGGAGGAGGAGGATCTTGGTAATGAGGAGGACTAGGAGGGGACTTATGGCCACTCCTTCAACCCATACCATTCATGTTTACCATCTATTGGCCCTACATGTGTGTTCACACCCAACTTCTTCCTCTCCATCCCTGTGCACACCTGTTTTCATTTCCACTCACAAGCACTTTTCTACACCTATTCTGTTCACCACTGCTCCATCTCACATAGGTGGATAGCCACGATCCTTCTCCCACGCGTGTGTTCACACCCAGACTCCTTTCACACGTTTTCACAACCACAGATTACATTTGTGGATGGCCAGAAGCTAGGGCGGGGTGGCGGTTGGCGAGGGTGGGTCGCTGGAGCGGGTTGGTGGGCGTGGGTCAGCATGGTGGCCCTTCCCTCACCCGCCCCACCCCTCGCAGGCCCCAGAGTGGAGGCGGCCTTGTGCCGGGTGGTACTGGCGCCGCTGAAACCCGCCCTGTGGAAGCGACTCCGCACACTCCGAGCTCCAGCGCTGAGGCGACTGCGGCGGCGACAAATAGCCCTGCGGGTGGGGGCGGGGCCTCCCGGAGCTCAGGGGGCGGGGCCTGAGGGACAGGGCCCCGCCCCCACCCTGCGGAGCCGCATTCACGCGCGCCTCGCGCACCTCCACGCCGCTTGCGCCCCACGCCGCAAAGTGGCGCTGCTGCTAGCGGTGTGCAGTGACGTCTATGCGGGCCTGGCTCCAGGCAAGAACCAAGGTAATGGGGGAGTCGGCTTCTACTTAGATGTGAACCGGCTTTGAGGGTTGAGGGAGCCCGGTAGGAAACGCCTGTGTGCATGTTCAAGGGCGAGGGTCGTGTGTTCTAGGGGAGGCGTCTACGCGGACCTGGGGTTCTGGGAAGAGGTGTTTGTACTTTCAACAAGGTGAAGGGACAGCCAGTGCTCGCGGTCCTGGGAATGGGATGGAAGGTGCCCGCACGCCCCCATCCATCTCAGAGCCTGTCTTGGGCCCCTCCAGAGCCTTTGGGGGCCGACGCCTTCCTGCCGGCTCTGACTGAGGAGCTCATCTGGAGTCCGGACATTGGGGAGACGCAGCTGGACGTGGAGTTTCTTATGGAGCTTTTGAATCCGGAAGAGCTACTGGGAGAAGGTGAGTCCCCATCCTCAGAATGTCAGGACTCAAAAGTGAGGCGCCCTAAAACAGCAGGTGGGCAAACTGCAGCGGCCTCTCCTTGTCTCTAGCCGGGTATTACCTGACCACGTGGTTTGGGGCGCTGCACCACATTGCCCACTACCAGTCCGACGCAGAACGCGCGCCCCAGGGGCTCAGCTCCGAGGCCCGTGCCTCCCTGCGCCAGTGGCACCGCAGACGGACGCTGCACCGACAGGATCGTGCAGGAGCCCAGGTGACCATCCATCAGACTGCCGGTAGAGTGGAGGGCTGGCCCTGTTGCCTTTCTGACCCGGACTCTTGTCTCTCCCCACAGGCCGATCTGCCCTTTGAGGAACCATGGGCAATAGAGACTGTGCCGCAAGACCGATGACGAATTAGGGATGATGAATTGGGGTCTCAAACCTTTGTGTTCCTCAAGCAAGATGCAGAGGCACCTGGGACAACACCAACTTCTGCCCACTGTGGTTTAGGGGCAGCATGGANCCATCATTGCGCTCTTCCCGGGCGAGGCAGATCAGTTGCCGGCTTCTGGACGGCCGCTCACGCTGGCTGCTGGCCGCTCTCACTGGCTGCTGGCTACATACGGTAGCCCATGGCAACCCACTGCTACAGGGACTGCAGCCCACGCCATCGCCGGTGACCCACGGCAGCCCAGCTCCAGGTTGAGCTGTTGTCCAGCATCTTAGCTGTAGAGGGCAGTGTCACTGGCCCTCATATGTGGGATCCGAACCGGGGCCCTCTGGCGTCCCAAGCCAGTTCTCTAACCATCGCGCCACTCGGCCGGCCCTGAAATTATTTTAAAATGTCCACCTCAACTGGCAACCCAGCGTAGGACTCTGTACCTCATTAAAAGTTGGGGTCCGATGGACACATGGCTAGAGGGACAGCTGTGTGATAAAGCAAAGAATAAAATAATGGTAGATGCTAGGTAATGGGTATATGGATGTTCCCTATAATATTCTTTCCATTTTTCTGAATGTTTGAAATTTTTGATAATAAAATATTGGAAGGAAATATTTGAGGGCCCGTCTGCAGTCTGGGAAGGGGGAGGAGGAGGAAGTGTTACATAACATTTGTCTCATTTATGGAGCCTACTATGGGTTGAGCCCTCTTTCAGGCCCTAGGTTTTGGCAACAGTTGTTTACTCAGTCCGTCCACATTCACATGGCTGCCCCAGATGTTAAAATCTGAACGATTTCCCTACCGCTTGGTAAATACCTGTCATTTGCAGTCCTATGCCTCTGCCCCCACCCCAAGACACACTGAATTCCCTCCTGGGATCCCCAGATCTCCCCACCATCCAGCGATGAAAGAATTTATACCTGGCACAGCAAGGAGCCTTGGGTCCATTCTGATTGGTCAGGATCTCTGCCATTGGTTGTAAATATTTTGAACTTTACCCCTGAACTGGAGCAGCCTTGAGCCTTATCTTCCTCCCTGCCAGAGGCCAGACCATGGCTCACTGGCCTCCCGCATCCTGAGGATGGCCCAGCCAGAGGACAAGGCCTTGGCAGGCCCCACCGACAGGGAGAGGTGAGGGCTAATGGGGCTGAGGTCTCCATCTCCCGTCCCTGGATTCAGATACCCCTTCCATCCAATGCCCACCCTCCCATAGGACCTTGAACCCCATCTCTGACCCTTCGCCCCTGGGCTTGCCCTCCCTTGTACCTATGACCCCAATTCAGTGTCCAACTGCCCACCTCTGATCCCTGGTCTCCTGGGCCCTGCACATCCCAGACTGGTCCCATCACAGGAGAATGGAGCCAGCGAGACCTGCTTAGGGGTCTTGGGGGCTCAAGAGCCACTCCATCGCCTGCAGAGGACATGGGGGGTGTGGCAAGTCCCAGAACTGGATGCTCAGGATGCAGAAGCCCTTCTGGAGCTGTGGCCACCGGGGGTGAGTACTCACAGCTGGGGACCCTTTCTGACCTTGCCATGACACCCTGGATCAGTTAGGACTCTGCTGGTTGCCAGTGACAACCACAACAAAACAGGCCAAACCAAAAAGGCTGCTTATGGATTCAAATGACTCAAATACCCAGAAGTAAAAGTAATTGCAAGAATATCTGGATCCTGAGCATCAGACAACTTATAAATTTCTCTTTATCCCACTTCTGGGCTTTGCTTTAAACTGGGGGGGAATTCTGAATGTTTGGGGCTGCAAGTAACACTCATTCTATAGTAGTTTAAACAAATAGGCATTTATCTTTTTAACACAACCAGAAAGGCAGCTAGTTCATCAGCTTGGGTGACATCAAGGCCAGCATCTCTGCGATTCTCTTGGACTTCCCTCATGGTTGCCTAGTAGCAGCTATGTCCAAACACATATGTGTTTGCCAGCAAGAAGGGAAGAAAGGAGGCACAAGTTGCATCTGTTTCTTTTTACCAGAAAAGCAAAAAGTCTTCACATTTCATTTGGAATATATGGATGGGGCCCAGGTAGCAATATTTTTTAAAGCTTTCCTGGGAATGTTACAGCCAGAGGTGAAAAGCTCTGCCTGCACCGATCATTATCCATCTTCTATGGCTCTGCATTTTAATACCCTGAACAAAGCCAGAGTTCTGCAGGGAAGAGGGCATAGATTTGGATAAGGCAACTAACGGGTCACCACTGCTTCCTCCGGGGAAGTGAGGGGGACTCTCTCCTTATGTTGGCAGAGATCGCTGTCCCCAGCTCAGCACCACACCTCACCCGGCTAGCAACCTCAGTGTAAAAATAGGCCTCTTCCCAAAGACCTCCAGCAAAAATCCTGTGGAAGATTCCCTTTGGCTGAGCTTGGGTCACATGCCCATCTCTGAACCAATCACAGAGCACTGTCATCTTGTTGGCTAGGTCAGGTCATGGACCACTTCTAGGACTTGAAAGTCAGTTCCACTAACGTGGACTGAAAAGGGAGTGGGTTTCTCTAAAGAAAATTTGAGGTATGGAACCCCAAATAAGGGAAATGGATGCTAGGCAGGCAAAAGTAATACATCTTCACAAATCCTCTTCATGCTGATCTTTGTCTCCGCCCTCCAGAGTTTCCTGGTCACAGGACATGACCCCAGCCAAGTCCTGGTGTTGAGGACAGGACCTTCACCAGGCGAAGTCAATACCTACCAGATTCAGAAGCTTCCTGGAGGTGAGGAGCCTACCCCTGAGTTTCCAGTCAACAGCAAACTTACCATCAAGTTAGTCAGCTTTATTTCTAAACTATTTCCCAAATCTTCCCAATCCTATCTGCCTCCACCACCCTAATTTGAGCGACCATCACCTCTTACCCAGACAATTTCAGTAGCCTTTTCTCTGGTCTCCCTGCTTGCACTCTTTCCTTCCTGCAATCCATTCTGAGCACAGCAGCCAAGGCGGTATTTTCAAACATTATTCAGATGTTATACATTCCTGCCTCAAACCCTGCAAAGGATATGCATCATCCTTAGATAAAAGTTTAAACTCCTCATCATGGCTTATAAAGTGTTCCTTCAGCCAACCTGCCCACCCCTCCATCTTCTGCCCCTCATTCCCTCTGCTCCAGTCACATTGTTCTCATTTTTGCTCCTTGAACACACTGGATGAGTCCCAGCCTCAGGACCTTTGCATTTGTTCACCTGGAAGGAATGCTCTTCTTTGAATGATTGATTTAGTCTCCATCCTTCAGCCCTCTTTGGAAATGTAACCTTTCTTGACCACCACAGTTAAGATAGCCCTAGTCATTTTCATTCACTCCATTTTGTTCATAGCACTCAATACAATATACACTTACCTTTATTTTTCTACTCATTTATTTTCTGCCTCCCTCCACTAAAAGGTAAGCATATAGGAAGGCAGTGAATGTGTCTACCTTTTGACAACTGTATCCCCAGTATCTGAGAATTAATAGGTGCTCCATAAATATTTGTCTAATGAATGAATATTTGGTGGCATAAGTGGGATACAAACATAAAGACACAGGAAACGATGGGGACTCCAAGGGGTAGAAATTTCCCTGTTCTGAAGGTTCTTGGGGGTATTCAGGACTGGGAAAAAGAGAGTCCCAGGGAAGAGGAGGCTGCCACCCCTCAAGTTTTCTAATTTGTCCCTCCTTGGCCCCCTCCCCCAGGTATGTCCCTGGAATCCTCTAACCTCTGCATGCCAGACCTGCCCCATCTCCTGGCCTTCCTATCAGCCAGCAGGTACAGGTTACCCATCAAAAGGACTAAGGGGAATTCTTCCCTAAGACATCCCCACTACATTGCGGCTCTTCCTTTTCTGTTCTCAGGGATGTTTTGCCCAGAACACTGCTTTTACCCCCTCCCACTCTAGTGCCTGAGGAACATGCAGGTGAGGCATGGTTCTCTAAGGGAAGGAGAGGAAAACTTTTCTCTTACTTGGTCCAGGAGGATAGCACTTGGGGAACCAGACCACTATGTTTGAGGGAAGGGAGGGAAGGGGCCTGAGAGAGCTGGGGGGAAGCTTGGCTCCTGGGCCAGGGGTCAAGCCACAGCTCCTCTAGTAATGAGGCTGGGAACTAAGTCTCCTGAGGGAACCAGGGCTGGCCTCTCGGACACATGGGACACCTTCCCCAGATCCTCTGCAGATTGGCAGTATCCAACTCAATGCCTCAGGTAGGGTGCTCTCCGTGGAGAACAAGCTCTACCTGGAAGTCCACAGAGGATGGACGATGGAACAGATCTCCCCAGAGACACCTCCAGTGACTGCCAAGAAACAAGACCCAGGTTAGCTGGGCTGGGCTTGGGTCTGTGAGAGATGAGGGAGCTGCTGATGCTGTTCTGTGGGACCCAACCCTCTCCTCACATCCAGCCCCCAGGAAATCTGCCCCTCACCGGGTCTCCTGGGTAGAAGGCCCACTCAGCCCAGAAGTACACCACTGTGGCCCGGCTCTGGTCAGCTTGGTAGAGGAAGAGGAGGAGGATTATGGCTACAAAGATGAAGAAGAAGGACCTGAGGATGTGCTTACTCGTCATGTCCAGGCTCTGGCCAGAGCCCGGAGCAGCTACGTGGCCAGGCAGTTCAGAGGCCTTCAGGCACGCCTCACTTCAGATGCTGGGGGCCACCACAGGCCTGGGGACCCAGCCACAGAGCTGCTTCAGGATGTGCGGCACCTGCTTACTGACCTCCAGGATCACTTAGCAAAGGACCCTGATGTCAGGGCAGTCTTTGGGAGCAGGGGACCTGGGGTACTCCAGGAGGAGGAGGATCTTGGTAATGAGGAGGACTAGGAGGGGACTTATGGCCACTCCTTCAACCCATACCATTCATGTTTACCATCTATTGGCCCTACATGTGTGTTCACACCCAACTTCTTCCTCTCCATCCCTGTGCACACCTGTTTTCATTTCCACTCACAAGCACTTTTCTACACCTATTCTGTTCACCACTGCTCCATCTCACATAGGTGGATAGCCACGATCCTTCTCCCACGCGTGTGTTCACACCCAGACTCCTTTCACACGTTTTCACAACCACAGATTACATTTGTGGATGGCCAGAAGCTAGGGCGGGGTGGCGGTTGGCGAGGGTGGGTCGCTGGAGCGGGTTGGTGGGCGTGGGTCAGCATGGTGGCCCTTCCCTCACCCGCCCCACCCCTCGCAGGCCCCAGAGTGGAGGCGGCCTTGTGCCGGGTGGTACTGGCGCCGCTGAAACCCGCCCTGTGGAAGCGACTCCGCACACTCCGAGCTCCAGCGCTGAGGCGACTGCGGCGGCGACAAATAGCCCTGCGGGTGGGGGCGGGGCCTCCCGGAGCTCAGGGGGCGGGGCCTGAGGGACAGGGCCCCGCCCCCACCCTGCGGAGCCGCATTCACGCGCGCCTCGCGCACCTCCACGCCGCTTGCGCCCCACGCCGCAAAGTGGCGCTGCTGCTAGCGGTGTGCAGTGACGTCTATGCGGGCCTGGCTCCAGGCAAGAACCAAGGTAATGGGGGAGTCGGCTTCTACTTAGATGTGAACCGGCTTTGAGGGTTGAGGGAGCCCGGTAGGAAACGCCTGTGTGCATGTTCAAGGGCGAGGGTCGTGTGTTCTAGGGGAGGCGTCTACGCGGACCTGGGGTTCTGGGAAGAGGTGTTTGTACTTTCAACAAGGTGAAGGGACAGCCAGTGCTCGCGGTCCTGGGAATGGGATGGAAGGTGCCCGCACGCCCCCATCCATCTCAGAGCCTGTCTTGGGCCCCTCCAGAGCCTTTGGGGGCCGACGCCTTCCTGCCGGCTCTGACTGAGGAGCTCATCTGGAGTCCGGACATTGGGGAGACGCAGCTGGACGTGGAGTTTCTTATGGAGCTTTTGAATCCGGAAGAGCTACTGGGAGAAGGTGAGTCCCCATCCTCAGAATGTCAGGACTCAAAAGTGAGGCGCCCTAAAACAGCAGGTGGGCAAACTGCAGCGGCCTCTCCTTGTCTCTAGCCGGGTATTACCTGACCACGTGGTTTGGGGCGCTGCACCACATTGCCCACTACCAGTCCGACGCAGAACGCGCGCCCCAGGGGCTCAGCTCCGAGGCCCGTGCCTCCCTGCGCCAGTGGCACCGCAGACGGACGCTGCACCGACAGGATCGTGCAGGAGCCCAGGTGACCATCCATCAGACTGCCGGTAGAGTGGAGGGCTGGCCCTGTTGCCTTTCTGACCCGGACTCTTGTCTCTCCCCACAGGCCGATCTGCCCTTTGAGGAACCATGGGCAATAGAGACTGTGCCGCAAGACCGATGACGAATTAGGGATGATGAATTGGGGTCTCAAACCTTTGTGTTCCTCAAGCAAGATGCAGAGGCACCTGGGACAACACCAACTTCTGCCCACTGTGGTTTAGGGGCAGCATGGAGGAGGCGGTCCAACCAAGAGGGAATGGCAGAGGCTGTCTCTGCTTCCTAAAATGCCCTTCCCTAATGTTCACACTGCTCCTTCCCTCCCTTCCTTCAGATATTTAGGCAGATACCAATCTCAGTGAGGCTCTCCCAGACACCCCGTCTAAAACTGTAACTCCTCCCTGTAGTAGGCAGAATAATGCCACACACACCCCTCCACCATGTCCACTTCCTAATCCCCAGAATCTGTGAATATGTTACCTTACATGGTAAAAGGGACTTTACAGATGTGATTAAATTAAGGATCTTAAGATGGGGAGGTTTTCCTGAATTCCGGTGGGCCCAGTATAAGCACAAGGATCCTTAATAAGAGGGAGGCAGGGGGCAGCCTGTTAGCTCAGTTGGTTAGAGCACAGTGCTCATAACACCAAGGTTGCTGTGTCCATCCCCACATGGGCCACTGAGCTGCACCCTCCACAACTAGATTGAAACAACTACTTGACTTGGAAGCTGATGGGTCCTGGAAAAACACACTGTTCCCCAATAAAAGATAAATTAAAAAAAAGAAAAAAGAGGGAGGCAGCAGGGTCAGCGTCAGAGGAAGAGGTGTGATGATGCAAGCAGAGATTGGAGTGGTGGCCAGGAGCCAAAGAATGCAGGCACGCTCTAGAAGCTGAAAAAGACAAGGAATGGATTTTTCCCTGGAACTTCCAGCACAAACTCAGCCTTTGATTTTTAGACCCCAAGACCTATTTTGGACTTCTAACCTTCCAAACTGCAAGATAATAAATTTGTGGGTTTTTTTAAGCCACTAAGTTTGTAGTAATTTGTTAGAGCAGCAATGGGAAGCTAATACACTCCCTTACCCTCATCTTTATTTTTTTTCATAAAAATGATCACTTCTTAACACATCATTTACTTATTTATTGTTAATTGTCCATAGTTTTCTTCCCCCAGAACAGCACTATCCAATAGGAATACAATGCAAATTATACATGTATTTCTAAATATTCTAGTAACTACATTAAAAAAAACTAAAAACAAATGAAATTAACATATTTAATTTAACCAAATATATCCTAAATATTATCACTTTAACATGTAATCAATATTTTTAAATTATTGAGATATTTAATATTCCTTTTGTGTGTGTGCTAAATTCAGAATTCACTGTATTTTACGTATACTTCATCACATCTCAATTTGGGCTAGACACAAAAGAACTCTGAACAAAAGAATTGCTTCAGAAAGTGGCAAGAACAATGGGATAAGTGTGTTCGAAGCAAGGGGGAGTATTTTGAGGGGGATTAATGGCAATGTATCTTTTACTGTAATAATTTTTTTATTTAAACATTCACCGTATATTTTGTAAATAAATGCAATCATAAATGCAATCACATCTATCTTCATAAAAGGAAGGCAGAGGGAGATTTGACACAAACAGGAAAAGGCAACGTGAAGGCAGAGCAGAGACTTGAAGATTACCTTGAAGACTGGAATGATGCAGCCACAAGTGAAGGAATGCTGTCAGCCACCAGAAACGAAGAGGCCAGGCACACTTCTCCCTTACAGCTCCAGAAGGAGTGGGGCCCTGCTGACACCTTGATTTCAGCCCAGTGACACTGATTTTGGACTTCTAGCCTACAGAACTGTAAGAAAATAAATTTCTATTGTTTTAAGGCACTAAGTTTGTAGTCATTTGTTACAGCAGCCACAGGAAATGTAACGGCTTCTCAGCAGTTAATATAAAAGAGAAAAACAGGAGCAGAATTAATACCAACTCAGTTTCATTGTAGCAACAAGGGACATTCATCTACAGATACAGAAATTAAATAGGAAAATAGGAAGATCACTCTTAATTCATCTGACAAAGAGATGCATTGCCATTAAAATTTTACACTTTACATTTTATAAAGATCAAAATTCTGTAATTTTAGATGCCAACTAAAAAATGTACCAGGAAAGAGGTTTTCACACTTGTTTTTGAAAACCAGAAAGCTTGAAGAAGACTGCACTAGGCAATAAAGCAGGAAGGATGTGGCCTCTGATCTTATGTTCAGGCAGAACTAAGGGGGGCATCCAGACCCCAGGAAATGTGAGGGGACCATCTCCTCCTTCAAGAAAGAGCCGACCTGGGCCGGCCGAGTGGCGTGTTGGTTAAGAGCTGGCTTGGGACACCAGAGGGCCCCGGTTCAGATCCCATATATGAGGGCCAGTGACATTGTCCTCTACAGCTAAGATGCTGAATAACAGCTCAACCTGGAGCTGGGCTGCTGTGAGTTGCCAGCTACGGCGTGGGCTGCAGCCACTGCTGCAGTGGGTTGCCATGGACTACCGTGTGTAGCCAGCAGCCAGCGTGAGCGGCCGGCAGCCGCAGTGAGCGGCTGTCCAAAAGCCGGGGACTGATCTGCCTCGCCCAGGAAGAGCGCAATGATGGTATTAACTTAGGCCAGCGAAGCAATGTCCTCACAACTAGACTGAACAAAAGGACAGCAACTTCTCTGTTCCCCTACCTGCAATTCCCCAGTGCTGGTCCCATCCCCCAATTCCCCAATTAAAAAAAAAAAGAAGAAAGAACGGGCAAGCAGGGCACCAAGAATTTCATTATACTTATTTATTATGAGTTTATATATTTTTTCTCCAATTTTTAAAATTATAGTAAAAAACATAAAATGTATTTTTAAATGTACAGTTCAGTAGTATTAACTATATTCACGTTGTTGTGTAACAGTCCTCTGGAACTTTTTCATCTTATAAAACTATACCCCCCCCCCCCCGAATACAACTCCCGTTTCCCCTTCCCCCAGCCCCTGGCAAGCACCCTTGTATTATACTTCCTGTTTCCATGATTTTGACTACTCTAAATATCTCATAGAAATGGAATCATACAGTATTTTTCTCTTGGTGAACTGGTTTGTTTCACTTAGCGTGATGGCCTCAAGACTCATCCACGTTGTAGCATGTGACAGGGTTTCCATTTTTTTAAATACCAAATAATATTCCATTGTATGCATTTTCTTTATCCAGCCATCCATCAATGGACAGTTGGGTTGCCTCCACCTTTTGGCTATTGTGAATAATGTGCAATGAATATGAGTGTGCAAATATCTCTTCAAGACCCTGCTTTCATTTCTTTTGGGAATATACCCAGAAGTGAAACTGCTGGATCATATGGTACCGGTAATTCTATGTTTCATTTTTTTTGGAGGAATTTGTAAATTGTTTTCCACAGCAGCTGCACCATTTTACATTCCCACCAGCAGTGCATGAGGGTTGCAATTTCTCCATATCCTTGCCAACAATTATTTTCTGTTTTTTAATAGTAGCCATCATTATGGCTGTGAGGTGACATCTCATTATGACTTGCATTTCCCTAATTATTAGTGAGGTTGAGTTTCTTATATGCTTGTTGGCCATTTGTATGTCTTCTTCGGAGAACTGGCTAATCAAGACCTTTGCCCATTTCTTAAATGGGTTGTGTGGTTTTTTGTTGATTTGCAGTTCTTTATAGTCTAAATATTAACCCCTTATCAGATATATGGTTTGCAAATATGTTTTTTTTCTATTCTGTACATTGCCTTTTCACTCTGTTGTTTTCTTTCATGGACAGAAGTTTCTAAATTTGATATAGTGCAAAGTATTTCTGCTTTTGTTGCCTTTTGTGTGTGTGTGTGTGTCATCCAAGAAATCATTGCCAAAATCAAGGTCATGAAGCCTATCCCCTGTTTTCTTCTAGGGGTTTTATAGTTTTAGGTTGTATGTATGGTTTTGTTTGTTTTTTAAAGATTTTTATTGGGGATTTGGAGGAGGGGAACAGACAAGTTGCTATCCTTTTTGTTCTTCAGTCTAGTTGTAGAGGATGTTGCTTCACTGGCCCAAGTTGGCACCATCATTGCGCTCCTACCTGGTAAGGCAGATCAGTCGCTGGCTTCTGGACAGCCACTCACGCTGGCTGCCGGCTATACATGGTAACCCATGGCAACCCACTGCAGCAGGGGCTGCAGCTTACGCCATAGCCCGCGACTCTCGGCAGCCCAGCTCCAGGTTGAGCTGTTGCTCAACATCTTAGCTGTAGAGGGCAGTGTCACTGGCCCTCATATGTGGGATCCGAACCGGGGCCCTCTGGCGGCGTCTCAAGCCAGTTCTTAACTGGCGCGCCACTCGGCCGGCCACAAATTGAGATTTGAAAATCTCTGTCTCCAAGCTCTCTTTTGTGATAACATAACACTTGAAAGGGAGCAAAATTTGTCACACCAAAATATGCCCTTTTGATACAAAGATTTTTTTAAAGCTGATTATTTAAAAACAGACAAGGGACGGCCGAGTGGCGCAATGGTTAAGAACTGGCTTG